AATCCCTATCATGCTACGCAGATGGAATTAAGGGGCAATTGAGAGGGGAATTTATCTGTAAATTGGGCCGAGTTGGACCGTTGTGGGCCTCAGTGCGAAAGGTTGAGTAAAAATGCCATAAAGTTACTCCGGTCCCAAAGAGGCTAGCTTGGTCACCATAGTAAAACTTGTACCGGTTGTCGCAGTATGGTTAGTTTGGTCGCTACAGTTAGTTCGGTCATGGCATAGGGAACCGAAGTATACTGAGCCCTCTTCAAGACTTGGTTTTGGTTAGTTCAGCTTAAACTCTTCTATGGATAGCTCGGTCTTGGCATGTGAAGCCGAGGTAGGAGAAAAGCAAGGAAGAGCCGAACTAACAGTTAGATCGGTCACTCCAGTTAGTCTAGCATGGCAATGTTATTTCGGTTGTATGGTAGTCCGGCCATGGTAAAACCATTTCACTTGGTTTAAACAGTGAGGGAGGTGTTAAAGGATAAGCATTATCCTTCAGGAGTATGAATTCTAGGAAGACTCTGCATGGAGAGGTAAAAGTCCTACTTGGATTATGCCACACGAAACCTATAAAAGCTCACAAACATCACCTTTGGAGAGGTAACACACAACTTTGATACACAAAGCTTTTTGTCTTTGTCTATTTTTCTGACTTAGGCATCGGAGGGGTTTCCGGCACACACCCGCCGGCTAGCTCACGTTTGTGTTTTCAGGGAGTGAAGCGACGACATTTGGAGGAACGCAGACTTGATCAACAGGATTATACGAGAAGGCTTATTTCTTTCCCGTACAGAATGAATGTATCCCTGTTTTACCTGTATTCTTTTTTTGGGGGGGCATATTGCTGTACTCGTATACCCATATCGCTGTATTTCATATTCGTATTCGTGCTTCCTAGGCCAATTGTGAACAAAAGAAACAAGTGCAATGAAATTAATCTGTCTAAGAATTTTTGAATTTTTTTTTTAGGTTGTGTAATTTGAGATATTTGATTTGTTTATTTGAGTGTAGCTTGAAGAACAATTTGGAAAAATATATTTAGGGTGTATTGAGAATAAATTATAATCCTAAATAATTTAATAGAGTGTATTAAGAAATTAAGCATACTTAATAATTTTTTTGGATGCAAACAAAACCCCTCTTAATTTTGTAAGGTTCTTTATATATATTATTCATACAAAATACTAGATCGATCAAGTAATCATAACTTATTCAATTTATTATATTTGTTTAAAAAAAATAAATTGTAAATGTATTTTAAAAAATAGACCATCTATCTATTTGGTGAGAAACACGATAAATTAAGTGGGTGTTTGGAAAGTTACTATTTTAATAGGCTATTTTAGTTTTTAACTAATTTAGTAGGCTAAAATTTTTACGTTTAGGAAGATGATTGGATTTTTTTGTAGTTGAATGTGATGTTTGTGAGAGAAAAAATAAAATGATTATGGATTTGATGTGACATTTTGTCTTATCGACTATTTAGCCTGTTTTGTCTTTTTATAAATTTTAGCTTAAAAAAAGTTAAAATTTCACTTTCTAAACAGGGCCTAAATAAATTACGATTATTAGATTGATCTAATTTTAGGCAACTAAAAAACATGTAAATAAGATAAGTATTGTTAAGATGAGGATACTAAAGTGGATGTGTGACAAGACTAAAAAAGACATAATTAGGAATGAGTATATTCGTGAGTGGGTAGGAGTAATACTGATAGAAGATAAGTTAAGAGAGAATAGATTGAAATAGTTTGGTCATATATAATAGAGACCAATAGAGTCAGTTGTAAAAATATGTGATACAGTGACGGTAGATGAAAATATTATAAGAAGGGACAGATCTGTATTAACGTGAGTTAGTGTAATAAATAAATATATATATATATATATATATGAATTTTCTTAATTTGACTAATCAAATAATCGTTAATCAAATCAAATACAAAAAATGATTTAGGTAACCAATCTCATTTAATGAGACTTACGACTCTGTTTGGTTTGATGATATGCTAGAAAAATAAACGGTTTGTTTCGGTTCTCGAATTATCTATTACCACAACCACTGCCACCTTGACCCACCACTCAAGACAACCCAGATCCTGCGACCATCAGCCACTCACAGGCGCGCCACCTAAGTCACTCACCACCACCCACTTCTCTTTTTCCCTCTCTGCAAAAGCCCCCCATCACCATCCTTTCTCTCTCATGTGAAATCATCACCCCTCAAAACAACCACCATCAGTCGTACCTGCTGCCCTTCCTCGCCGATGCCCCCTTTACCTTCCCACCCCCTTCTCTATTTGAAAATTTTTAAATTTATTCTAAAATTTCATTTTAAAAAATGATGAAAGAAAATCATTTTCAATCCTTTTTTCTTTAAAATTCATCAAATTTGAATGAGTATAGGACTGTTGAAAATTTGGTGAAAATTTTGATTTGGTTCATTATTCATTTGGTGAAAACAATTCTCTCTGGGATATAGATTTGATAGAACATACTTTTTAGTTATTTTTTTATTATTAAATTTGAATTTGATGAAGAATTAGAAATGTTTTTATCCACAACATATATATTTATATGTATATTTTATTATAAGCAAATGTTTAGTGTATGTCTTAATTACTATTTTATTATTAGGAAGGCGGCATTGCCTTCTCTAGCTTTTAAATAAGATTTTCTCCAATAAAAGGATGGATAAATATTGAAATCTTAATGATACTCATGAAAATCCTATTTTGGGCCTAATTGTGCCATACTCTTAATTGTCTTTACTCTTTTTCTCAGTGCTAATTCCACTTGGTAGTGTTGTTGTCACTTGCATTGCAATAGCAGTAAATAATAGCCACTATTTTGCTTTATTCTTCCTAAGAGCATCTCCAATGGATGGCTAAATCAGCTGCTAAAGCCATAATATAGCAGCTTGGGCAATCTTGGCTTCTCCAATGGCATGCTATAATAGCTGCCAAATTTGGCAACTGCCAAATCATGTACCAAATTTGGCAGCTACTTTGGCAGCTGCCAAATCTGTCAGGTCTCCCAAAATTAAACTGTTTTCTTCCTTTCCTCCTTCTCTCATTCCCTTTCAGTTGGGATTTTCCAGAATACATGAAGTTTTTTATAAAAGAAATGAAATTCACCATGTTGTTTAAAACAGAAATCATCACAAATTAATCAGAATGAACAAGAATTTCAGCAAATTCATCAATATTCATACCAAATTCATCAATATCAATATTCACAAATTCATACCAAATTCATCGTCAAAAATTTCTCCAATATTCACAAATTCATCAATATCAATTTCTCCAATATTCCAATATTCACAAATTCTCTAATATCAATATTCACAAATTCATCAAGAAAAATACCTGGATGAGAGAAGGTTGATCCGAAGGTGGATGATCTGGTGGTGGATGAGAGAAGGTTAATCCGCAGGAGAGAGAGAGAGAGAGAAAGAGCTTCGAGTGAGAGAAGATTAGAGGGTTAGGGCTTCGAGGGATAGGGGGTTAGGGCTTCTGAAAATCATTGATCCGAAGCTCTCTCTCTCTCTGATCTTCACTGATCCGAGAAACATGGGGAGATAGAAGGCGAGAACCAGAGATGAGAGGATAGAGACACTGATCCGAAGTGTTTCGAAGTAAAAACACTGATCCGAAGTGATTCGAAGGATAGAGACACTGATCCGAAGTGTTTCGAAGTGATCCGAGAAATAGGGGGAGAGAGAAGGTGATCTTCACTGATCTGAAGTGTTTCGAAACTCTCTCTCTCTCTCTGATCTTCTCTGAAGTTTATCCAAAGTGTGCTATTTTGTTCAATGGACAAAGACATAGAGATGAGAGGATAGAGACACACAGACACATGATTGATCTCAGTCGTTGATTAATAACAATCCAACAGCTGAGATCCAAGTGTGCTACTTTATTCATTAAAAAAAAAATTAAATAAAAACATAAGTGGAACATATCCACAACGACTCTTTTTTATGTTAAAACGGCTCTTTTTTTTTTCTATAAATACAAACCTTCTTTCCTCTCTTTTTACTCAATTTCATTTCACAACAAACTTTCTAAATTATATTTTTATTTATATTTTCTTTACATAATCGATATAGAAGGTTCATCAAAAAAAAAAAAAAAGAGAGGAAAATCATTCACCATTACTGAAGATATGACACTTTGTGTAGTTAAATTGGTGATTGTTTATTTTTTGTGTATAGTTAAAAAAACTTGTTAAATATGTAGTGGTATGTTTTTTGGTGTGGTGAATTAATCAAACAATTTTTTTTTTCCAATTTTTCATTTTTTTTATTTTTTATATTTGTCTAGTTGGGAATAATATAAATATATAATCTTTTTAACAAACAAGTAAAAAAATGTCACAAAAGACAAAAAATAAACAAAAACAAAATCACAAAAAAACCTATATCCAAACAACATCTATAAACTTAAAAGGAAAGTTGGTTAAGATTTACCAAAAATAACAAATGACCATTGGAGCACTATTGCTATAATTTGACAAAATATCACTATTCATTGTCAAATTACAACAATAGTAATAGCATTATAGCAATAATGGTTAGAGATACTCTAAGACGAGTGGTAAATTACACAGTCCTCTCTTCGAAGTTGGCAAAAATACACATAGTTCCATTAGTATGAGATAATTGCATTGGTCTCCCCTCAAAGGAGACCTGCTTTAACTCCGTTAATAGCAGTTGATGAAAATACCCTCAAATTTTTCCTCTCCTTCCTTTCCAAACAGTCCAACCCCCTTTTCCCAATTCAGTAAAAACCCTCGACTCTAATGTACACTATTTCAGCACAGAACAACGCAAGACCAAGTCTCGCACCGTCGCACGTTTAAAACAACAAAATTGCGCCTACAAATGCAACCATTCATGATTGGATCTATGAGAAAAGCTAATCCACCATACATTAACAAAAGCAAAAGCCTGATCTGCCCAATCCATAGAGCCTAAACATTAGAAAACCTAACCAAAAAAAAAAAAAAAAAAACAAAAAAAAAAAAACAGATGGACATTGGTTTGATATCAATTCTCTTATATATGACCACTTGAATCAATGTCTATTATTAGTTTCTTTTAGTAAAGTGCAGAACACAAGGAATGATGCATCAAATGGTTTGGTATGTTGTCCTGAACATTATTATGATCATCATGTCCTCTTTTCTCTTGCCTGTTGGTGCCAGTGAAGAGAGTATTAGAGCAGGAGAATCTATCAACAATAACGAAACCTTAACTTCAGCTGGAGGAAATTTCGCATTAGGCTTCTTTAGTCCAGGCAATTCTATGAACAGATACATTGGCATATGGTACAACACAATCTCCAAACAAACAGTCATATGGGTTGCTAACAGAGAAAACCCGCTTGCTAAAAATTCTCATGGATTTTTGCTTGGTGATGATGGCAATATTGTGCTTTTACATGGAGAAAAAAAAGTTATTTGGTTTGGTCATCAAATGCAACAATTGCGAAATTGGCCATGAACTCCACAGTTGCAGTGCTGTTAGATACTGGAAATCTTGTTCTCAGACATGGTGAGACGGGCACTGTATTATGGCACAGTTTTGATTATCCAACTGATACGCTTATTCCTGGCATGAAACTTAACTGGCCAGCAAAGCCTTCTGTATTCGTTGCCAACAATGCAAATCCTCAACCAGGAATGTTCTCCGGAGGTATAGATCCTGAAGGGTGTCCACAGATTTTCATTTGGAAGCAATATCGTCCCTTTTGGAAAAGTACTGTATACGACTATAGTTTGGTTTATATAGATCACATACATCAAGGGTTTGCCTCGTTTTTAACTTTCATCAAAGAAAGTGATGAAATTTATCTCACTTGCTGTGTACCAGAAAACTTACTTAAAGTAAGAGTCACTTTAACTCCTACTGGGCAAGCTCAGCTGCTGTTTTGGGCACAAAGTAGCAATTCATGGGTAGTTGTATGGCAGGCCCCAGTAGTTGAATGTGATTTTTATGGGTATTGTGGTCCATTTAGTAGCTGTGAGCAAAATGGATCACATCCATTTTGCAGTTGTTTGGAGGGTTTTGAGCCCAGAGATCAGAAAGAATGGAATCTTGGAAATTGGACAGGAGGCTGTGCCAGGAAGATGGAATTGACATGTGATAAGGGAGATTGGTTTTTTAAGTTTGAAAGAACTAGATTGCCTGATTATTCAGTGTCTCTGGGAAATGTCGTGACAACTGCTCTTGCACAGCTTATGCTTATGCTAATCTAACTATAGAAACTACTGTGCACTGTATGAATTGGTTTGGGGCTTTGGTGGATCTAAATCATAATGCCTTCATTGGTAAAGATCTTTATGATCGCCTTCATAGCTCTGACCAAGGTATGTATGATATCTTGCTTTATTTCTGTTCAAGGCACTGTTTTTCTGAATTTTAGCCCAAGTCATGTAGTTTGTGATGAGCTAATTTTCTGTGTTTTGTTATTCTTGTGTAGTTAGCAATGCTAAGACTGGCAACTTGACCCCTAAAAGAAGAATTTTGATTGCAATTGCAGCAGCTGCTATCTCTACAGGATTTCTATTTATTAGTATCATCGGCTATGTCTTAACAGGTTGAGAAATCCGGGTACAATCTCTCCCTCTCCCTCTTGAGTGTTGTACATGTTTAATCCTACACACTTGGAAACACAAATAGAAGTTACCACTACACTTCTAGTTTCCTATGCATGATTTTGTCCACTGATTACTCCAAATACAGAGAGAATAGAACCAAGTGTGAAAAAACTTGACACAAACTCTAGTGCATCTGTTGTTGGGCCAAATGATGGAGAATTGTTATCATTCAGTTTACAAAGTATATTAGCTGCCACAGACATCTTTTCTGAAGCAAAAAAACTAGGAGAGGGTCGGTTTGGACCTGTTTATAAGGTAACTATTCCAAAACTGTGATTTTTTTTTTTTTTTTTTCTCATTTCAGTGTATCTAAGACTCAAATGACACATTTCGTGGGAAGTTGGAAAAGGAAAATTTGTTCTTTCATCCTTCTTTTTTCATTTTTGTTTTTTGTTTCTGTCCAGGGGAATTTTCCTGAACTACAATTAGCAGCTATAAAAAGACTCTCAAAAAAATCATTGCAAGGCATGGAAGAGTTCATGAATGAGCTGAAACTTACTGCCAAACTCCAACATAAAAATCTTGTCAGACTATTGGGTTGTTGTATGCCTTAAGCAGAATGAGCTGAAACTTCCTATTTTGTACGCCTTGAGATCTTTTTCAATTTACTTCAGATAGGACATATTTCTTTTGAAGCTCCAATTTTCATTTTTCAATCACTGATTGTGATAACTTTTCATTAGATCCTTCTAAGCAAGACAATTTGGATTGGAGTAATTGCTTCCAGATCATAGAAGGGATTGATCAGGGTCTTATTTGCCTTCATAAGTATTCTAGACTGAATGTCATTCACAGGGATTCAAAAGCAAGCAATATTCTGTTGGATGAAGCTTTGAATCCCAAAATTTTGGACTTTGGAACCGCAAGGAGTTCCAGAATATAAATCAAACTGATGCAAATACTAGGCGGGTGGTGGGCACATAGTAAGTATAGCAGATATTTCCATTCATCTGAACTTTAAATAAGATAAGTTTATTTTATACTACTGCTGAAAATAAAATGCTGCCGCTGCTACGGTCAGTATGGTTGTTAACATTGTCATTGGTGATGCAACGGTTACATGTCACCAGAATATGCGTTGTCTGGGCAATTTTCTGAGAAATCAGATGTATTCAGTTTTGGAGTGTTATTGTTAGAGATTGTGAGTGGTGAGAGAAGCCCTAATTCTCATCAAACCTGAACATTCTCTAACCCTTATAGGATGGGTAAGTATGCTATGTCTCTTTTTTTTATCCACTTATGTTGGTTATTTGTTTTTTTGGATATATAAGATAAGTATTAACTATGAAATTTTATTTTGAATGGCTTTAATTTGTTCAAGGCATGGAAAAATTGGAAAGAAGGTAGCTGTTTGAAGTTAATTGATCCATCAATAAGGGATATATGCAATCTTCAGGAGGCATTGAAATGCATTGCTGTAGGGCTATTGTGTGTTCAAGAATTTCGGGGTGATTGAACAACAATTTATGCAGCAATTCTCATGTTGAGAAAGGAAATTCCGTCAGTTCCATCACCCAAAGCACCTGCCTTTTCTACTTATACGAATTCCAACACTGCCTACTGTTCTTCTCAAACATCTAGTTGCTATTTCAACAATGAAGTGACAATTACCATGCTTGAGGCTCGATAAGAAGCTCTCAATTTTCAACTACACAGAAAGATTTCCATAAAGATGAACTGCATACAAAACTGATGTCTCCGGTAGAGTATGTTATGGTTAGCAAGTGCACAAGAAGCATACATATGATGACATTGTCACTTTCATGTGTAGAATTTATACTAGTAAGAATTTGTAGAAGTTCTTCTCATTAATGTAATTATCAATATTGCATAAATACTATGCTAGTATCAGAATGAAGAACAAGTTAATTTTTTCTTGCTTATTGGACAAAGCTGATAGTGATCTTGGAGACAATCATATACCTTTGGCTCAACAACTTAGATTTGATTATACAACTAACATCATTAGTCTTGATTTAAAGATGATTGAAAAACATCATTGAGTAAACCATGAGAGGGTTAGATCAAGTAGAATTTATCCATTTCCTCACGCCTTTATTTTCAGGGTAATTTGCTTGAAATTAAAGAAGCTAAGCCATAAAAAGGCTATCTAAAAAGGCAATATTACAAGAATTAGAGTACATGAATGAGTTGAAACTTATTGCCAAACTCCAAGACACAAATTAATCTTGTTAGGCTTTTTGGGATATTGACATATATTGATCTACTGAATAGATGCCTATTCTGTACATTTTAAATATGTCTTTCCTAACCTCTCTCACATTTTTAGTTTAAATTTTCTCCAAGACGCTGAATATTGGAAAAATATTGACATCTCAATTACACTCATTGCAGCCCTATACCAATGTTGATGTGGGACAAGCTCACTTTTTTCTCAAAGATAAATCTTGCTTTGAGGTGGCACTTGCATTGTGCCTTTTTGCTCCGGGTTCTAACTTATTGACTTTTGCATTTTCCATTATATAAAACTTAGTTGGAAAAGAAATCTCATCAGTGGCATGCGTTTACCTCCTTCACTAATTATCTTTACTACTTTCTCAGTGCTAATTCCTCCTTATAGTTGCTGTCACTTTCACTATGAAGCATTAATTTTCTAGCCTAAGCTTGATCTTCTTTACATTTTGATTAAGATTTTCTCCAAAATGCATAATTGTCAATGTGGGAGCCCTCACAAGGTTTGGGCTTAAAAAGCTGTGTTTCGATTTTGACTTATTGCTCTTAGCTCTACTTTGCCAAATTTTCACCTTTCCCTTGCATGTAACTTAGTTGGGGGAGAAAAAAACAACTCGTCTGCTTGCATTTGCCTCACACCCTTAGATGAGTAACACAATCTCTCACCTGGAAACAGAACCAGATAGTGCGAACAGGTGCACAATAACAAACACAAATTATAAGACTTATACTAAGCAAACATAAATAACCTGCTGAAGTATTGCATTCAATCATTTATTATCCCACAAGCTTAAGATGCTAGGAAATACGTCTAACAAATATATGCCAAGTTATCTAACAGAAACTGTCTCTCCCTTTTAAGCATAGCCAACACAAGTCTGAATAATCCTACACAAGCACATACAATATGGCTCTGCTAATACATGAAGTTCTTGATACTTTTGAGGAAAATTAAGCAAATGCAGAGCACCGAGTGCTGTTTTGATATTTTCAGCATTCTGGGAGTTTTTTTCTCTGATGGCTTTCTTGTAATCACGTTTATATATTATTTTCGGTAGAAATCGTCTTGCTTTCGTGCTTGCTTATATATGTGTGTGAAAATAAAATACTACGACCACTGACAGGGAATGCCAAACTCTACAAAGCACACTAAATAAAGGCAATAATCAACTCTGCTATACTTACTATTTAAGTACATAACAATAGCAGACCAAGTCTCCACTTGCACATTTTTAACAACAAAAGAAAAAAAGTGAAGAAAAATTATCACTCAGAAGATACACCACTTATTGTGCGTAGAAGTGCAACCATTCATGATTAGATCTATGAGAAAAGGTCAACCCCTATACTTAAACTAAAGCCTGATCTACCCAATCCATGTGAACCTAAGCATTGTAAAATCCAACAAAAAATCAACTTTGCTATCAACTCTCTTATAGAACTACTTGAATGTCTACCATTAGTTTCTTCTAGTGAACCATCAAGTGGCTTGTTGTTTTCTACTCAATATTATGATATTGTCCTCTTTTATTTTGCCTGTTCTTGCTAGTGAAGACAGAGTGAAAGCAGGCGAATCAATCAGCATTAACCAAACCTTAACTTCAGCTGGGGGAAATTTTGCATTAGGCTTCTTCAATCCAGGCAATTCTACGAACAGATACCTTGGCATATGGTACAAAACAATCTCCGAACAAACAGTGATATGGGTAGCTAATAGAGAAAACCCACTTGCTAAGAATTCCGCGGTGTTTTTGGGCTTGGTGATGATGGGAATCTTGTGATTTTTGATGGAAGAAGAAGAGTTGTTTGGTCATCAAATGCAACAACTGCCAATTTGGCCACGAACTCCACAGTTGCAGTGCTGATATAGATACTGGAAATCTTGTTCTGAGACTTGGTGAGGGCACTGTGCTATGGCAGAGTTTTGATCATCCAACTGATACGTTCATGCCTGGCATGAGACTTAGTTTGGATAGGAAAACTGGCTGGCAAAGCCTTCTATACTTGGACAGACAATGCAGATCCTCAGCCAGGAATGTTCTCCGAAGGTACAGATCCAGAAGGGCGTCCAGGAATTTTCGTTTGGAAGCAACATGATCCATATTGGAGAAGCAGTGTGTATGACTATAGTTTGTCTTATGTAAGATATAAATCTCCAGAGTTTGCCTCCTACTTCACTTTCATTGCAGAAGGTGATGAATTTTATCTTACTTTCAGTGTCTCAGAAAACTTGATTAATATAAGAGCCATGTTAACTCCTCGAGGGCAAGCTGAGCTGCTGTTATGGGAGCAAAGTAACAATTCATGGGTAGTTCTATGGCAGGTTCCACTAGTTAAATGTGATTTTTATGGGTATTGTGGTCCATTTAGTAGCTGTGATGAAAATGGTTTGCATAAATTTTGCCATTGTTTGGAGGGTTTTGAGCCCAAAGATCAGAAAGAATGGAAGCTTGGAAATTGGACAGGGGCTGTACCAGGAGAATGGCACTGACATGTGATATAGGAGATCAGTTTTCTAAGTTAGAAAGGATGAAATTGTGAGCAGTGAGCTAAGAACTGCACTTGCCTGGCTTATGCTTAGACTAATGTGAGCAGTGAGCTGTATGCATTGCTTTGGGGATCTCGGGGACCTAAAGGGTAATGACATCAATGGCAAAGATCTTTATGTCCGCACTCATGACTCTGATCAAGGTATGTATGATATCTTGCCCAATTTCTGTTCATACATCTATGATTGATTAATATTAATTGAGATTAATTTGATGTGCAGGTGGTAATGGTAAGTTGACACATAAAAGCAGAAGTGTCATTGCAATTGCAGCAGCTGCCATCTCTACTGGATTGCTTCTTATTTGCAGCTTTGGCTATGCCTTGAGGAGAAGGATAAGAAGCCAAGGTATATTACATGCTTTTGCTAACAGTACACTTTTAGTTTCTCATGCATGGTTTTGCTTCACTGATTACTCTGAATTCAGAGAGGGTAGATCGAAGTGCGCATGAGCTTGATTCCAACTCTAAAGCATTGGTTGATGATTCAAATAATGGAGAATTGTTAGCTGCTACAGACAACTTTTCTGAAGCAAACAAACTTGGAGAGGGTGAGTATAGCCCTGTTCATAAGGTAACACATTTCCATAATTGTGATATATATTCAAGTACTGGGAGTTATGAAAAATTCATACATTTCATCCTTTTTCTTTTCTTTTTTAAATTCAGGGGTATTTGCCTGAAGTGCAAGAAGTAGCCATAAAAAAGCAATCAAAAACATCATTACAAGGAACAGGAGAGTTTATGAATGAGTTGAAATTAATTACCAAACTCCAACATAAAAAACTTGTCTGGCTTTTGGGTTGCTGTGTTGAACAAGAGGAAAAGATACTGATCTACGAGTATATGTGCAATGGAAGCCTAGACAACTTGCTATTTTGTACACAAATTTACCTCTTTTCTGAAACTTCTGATAAACAATTCTGTTAGTTTTATAGTCTCTGATTTTCAATTTCCCATCACTGATTTAGTATTGGTGTCCATTAGATCCTTCTAAGCAAGCCAATCTGGACTGGACTAAACGCTTCCAGATCATAGAAGGGATTACTCAAGGTCTAATCTACCTACACGAGTATTCTAGATTGAAAGTCATTCACAGGGATTTAAAAGCAAGCAATATTCTGTTGGATGAAGCAATGAATCCCAAAATTTTGGACTTTGGAACTGCAAGGAGTTTTGGAATAAATCAAATTGAAGCAAATATCAGGACGGTGGTGGGCACATGGTAAGTATAGCAGATATTCCCATTTGTATGAATTTTGAATGAGATTACCTTATTTGTACTGATGCTACCACTACTATTTCATCAACTTGGTTGATAACATTGTCATTTGTGATGCATCGGCTACATGTCACCAGAATATGCGTTGTACAGTAAATTTTCTAAAAAATCAGATGCATTTAGCATTGGAGTGTTAATTTTAGAGATCGTGAGTGGCAAGAGAAACACTAGTTTTCATCTCACCAAACTCTTGCTAACCTTTTTAGGATGGGTAAGTATCCTTTGTCTCTTTGGTTATCCTCTTAGGTTGGTTGTTGGTTAGTTGGATATATTTGTGTGTTCAAGATTTTCCGGGTTATCAACCAACAATGTATGATGCAGTTCTCATGTTGAGCAATGAAAATGCCTCGATTCCATCACCCAAAGAACTAGCCTTTTCAACTTGTAGGAGTTCTAACACTGTCAACTATCCTTCTCAAACATTCAGTAGCTATTCCAACAATGAGGTGACAATTAGCATGCTAGAGGCTTGATAGAAGCTCTCAATTTTTCTATTTTCATTTGAATCAATCAATATTACATCAGTTTATTTTTTACATGGTATCAGAGCAGGTTTAGAATCAAATAATTCTGCTTGACCGGCGGGCGGCAGTCTCGCCTTGGCCGCCCGCCGGATCTCTACACATACCTTCACTCCGCTGCATCTTCAACTCTCTCTCTGTATTGAAATTCAGGGAGAAAGACAGACACACACCAGTCCTCTTCTCGGCCATCACACACACAGACGCTGTGAACCACCGTGGACCACCAATAATTCTCTCGCTGTCTCTCGCTTCTTCGATCGAATTTACAGCTTCCCATTAATGGGTTCTCTGCTCGGTGACTGGCCTTCCTTCGACCCTCACAACTTCAGCCAACTTCGACCCTCTGATCCGTCAAACCCTTCGAAAATGACGCCTGTCACTTATCATCCTACTCATGATCGGACCCTTCCACCCCCTAATCAAGTGATGTCTTCAGAAGCCAAAAATATACTTCTTAGACATATGTATGAAGGTTCTAAAGAGCTGAGACCAAAGAGACCTGCCTCCGAACTTCTGACACCAGAGCATGGCAACAAGCATCCAAGGGCTTCTGCTTCAGACACCCCTCCCACCTCCGATACCAACTCGCTTACCACAGTCGGCGGCAAATCGAAGATCTCGGCACCAGAGCATGGCAACAAGCATCCAAGGGCTTCTGCTTCAGACACCCCTCCCACCTCCGATACCACCTCCGATACCACAGCCGGCGGCGAATCGAAGATCTCGGTCACCGAAGCCACGGCGAATTCGACGGCCCTGAAGGACAGCAATGACGACAACAAGAAGCAGGACGAGGAGGATCCTGCTGTTTCTAATATCCAGAGGACGATCCGCCGAGCCGAGCGCTTCGGTATACCCGTGCAGCTCTCCGAGGACGAGAAGCGTCCTTCTCGCGTTCAAAGGTTTGGGATTGAGTCTACAGTGCATGGTTCAGATGCATTGAAGACATCAGAGGAGCAGAAGAGAAAGGCTACAGAGGAGCCGACGAGAAAGGCTAGCGCGGAGTGGTTCGGGCTTGTGCAATCTGAGCCTGTTGCTGGGGCGGCAAAGAAGAAAACTAGGCTTGCCAGATTTGGCTCTGCCACTAAGACAGATCCACTAGAAGCAGACAACCAATAAACAAAATAAAAAATAAAAATAAAAAGAAGATTATCACTTTCCAACCCACCGTCCACCACTTTTTTTTTTCTTTTCTTTATTCTCCACTTTCTTTCTTTTCTTTTATTTTCTTTATTTATTTATTTATTTACTTAAAAAGTTATTAAATTAACTTACACTAAGTTAGCATGAGACAAATTTACAAACACACATGAATTACAATGAATAAATAAATAAGAAAATAAAATAAAATAAAATAAAATAATCTAAAAAAAAAAAAAAAAAACAACAAAAACAACAAAAACAAAAAAAACAAACAAACAAACACGGAGGAAGAAGACGAACTGCACACTCATTTTATTCATATCGGGCCTCACCCCGATCACCATTTTTACACACACAAAAAAAAAAAAAAAAAAAAAAAAAAAAAAAAAAAAAAAAAAAAAAAAAAAAAAAAAAAAAAAAAAAAAAAACAAACACAACAGGCAAGAGAAACACTAGTTTTCATCTCACCAAACTCTCGCTAACCCTTTTAGGATGGGTAAGTATCCTTTGTCTCTTTGGTTATCCTCTTAGGTTGGTTGTTGGTTAGTTGGATATATAAGATAATTAATTAGTTTTGAAATTTTAATTTTTGATGGCTTTGACTCTTTACTGTGTGAAGGCATGGGAGAATTGGAAACAAGGTAGCTATTTGGAGTTCATTGATCCGTCAATAAAGGATACATGCGACTTTAAGGAGGCATTGTAGACTATTGCTGTGGGGCTTTTGTGTGTTCCAAGATTTTCCGGGTTATCAACCAACAATGTATGATGCAGTTCTCATGTTGAGCACTGAAAATGCCTTGATTCCATCACCCAAAGAACCAGCCTTTTCAACTTGTAGTAGTTCTAACACTGTCAACTATCCTTCTAAAACATCGAGTAGCTATTCCAACAATGAGGTGACAATTAGCATGCTAGAGGCTCGATAGAAGCTCTCAATTTTTCTATTTTCATTTGAAGTATTTATGTTATGGTGGTAGTATTAACAGGTGCAAAAGCATACAAATGATGAAATTGTTGCCTACTCAGTCTTAAGTTTTATTGAATAAATCAGATTCCATCAAACTCAAGTGCCTTTTTAAAATTTTCCCATTCAAGTCTTCTTAGGTTCCAAGTGCCAATCTAAAATTTTCACACTGAATCTTCTTAGGTGTTCCTTCATCTTTCCTTTCAGTTACCGTGCATGATTAAGGGTAGCTGTCATAAGTCAAACATGTGTTTTGAATAATTATTGAAGCTGTCCATGCTCAACCCGCTTGAGGCCTATTCCAACTAATCTTCTTCAACCAATAATTGGATGAGGTTTGTCATCATAACAATTTGATTAGTGGTTGATCTGCTAGCATAATCTTTTCTCTTCTTCTTCTTCTTCTTCTTTTTTTCCCGCCTTTAATAGGCATAGGATGAGACTGCATCAAAAATTCTTTTTAAATCTATGTTGAATCTGTGAAGGGCTTACTTTAGATGACTGAAAATTTTATTGTCCATCTTCTTTGACAGTTGAAATTGAGAATCTGAGATAGATCTTGGATGACTTCTCACAATCATAGATTATAATAAATTTCAAAAAGCTTGGAATTAGCAAGTTGTTTCGCATGTTGATTTGTTTTGATCTGAAGTCATCTATCTAGGGTTAATAATCCAAGTTGGTTCTGAAAATTTTACTAACTTAATCTATCTGTTTTTTGGGAAAAACGCTGGTTTAATTTTAATTGACTATAAAAACCAATAACTTACTAGGAAGCCACTCGCAAGCTATAGAAATCAGTTGTATTCAGTAGTTCAACCCATTCAAAGATGGAAAACATTTCATTATCGTTCTGTTGACTTTGGAATTAGATCATAATTGATGAGTTTTCTTTAAACCAGAAACAATTCACAAAACATATTGATAAACTCAAAATGTGACATGTTCTGTTTTTACATTAGTACTTTTTTCAATTCTTTCAAAACGATCGCTCTAATGTCATAATAAAATGATATCAATTTATTTATTTATTTAAAATTCAAAATGGCTCGTCAACAATAACAATTCCACAAGCTTATGGTATGATAATTGCTTTACTGATTCTCTATCAATTGGATTTGCATTGAAATCTTTGGAAGACTCCAATTTTTGTTATTACTTGTTGCCTAAATGGTGAATGGTATTTATCTTCTTTACCAAATTGTTCTTCTCTCTATGACTGAATCGCAAATTTATATCTATTTATTATCTAACCAGAATCGTAAAAGTAATTTTGAACGTAGATTCTTATGTTTTGCTTCAATCTTATTATAATCAAAATGGATGCAGAAATCTTGGATCTTAATACGAGCTTTAATATATGAGTAATATAACAAATTCACCTTTATCAACTCAGAAATTATTTAAAATTTTCATCTTGTATTTCAGATTTATTTTACACATAGATTTCACAATACACAAATTCCATCTCAACCACACAATTCCATTTAAGGTAAACTAGTGTTTCATCCGTGTTATGCACGGGTTGTGTTTATAATTATTTGTATATACGTGAATTGAGAATTTTAATTTTTTTTTTCACACAAAAAAGGAATATAACAAATGCAACATGTCTTCAATCAATTATTTTATGTTTACTTTTATTCAAAATTTAAAAATAATGTACAGGAAAAATTTATAACTAAATTAAGAAAAAAAATTATTCCTAACGACATTTTTTTTACTTCTATATAAATACTTAAAAAAATAAATCTAAAAAAAGTAGTCAATATAAATATTATGCATTAACTAAAAAAATGTGGTTAGCAATTATGCTTACATAAATTTACTATAGTTTTAATTTCAATTTTTTTTTTAAAAAAAAAATTATTTTAAAATCATTTTGTTTAGCTATGTTAGGACCCTACTTGTTGTCAAATTCCATGGACAAACTTGGAGTTTATTGAGTTGTAATTTTCCTTTAATTTTTGTCTTCCCGCTCGAGCGGGGAACGTGGCGCTCGAGCGGAGATTCCACCATCACAGTATTTTGGCTTGTCTGCAAAATATACTAAGTAGTGTGTTTTTACGCTCGAGCGTGGGATCTTACGCTCAAGCATGAACCCTGGTTTGGAACACGCAATATAGAGTCCCGCTCAAGCGTCCAATTATACACTCGAGCGAACCTCGCGATTTCTGATTCTATAAAACCTTAAGTTGCTCCAAATCTAGGGTTACATTTTCTAGATCTTCTTTAAGAGTTTTAGGGTTTTCTTTTGGAGATATTTTTTTGGTTTTCCTTAATGTTTGATTGAGTTTTGAACTCATGTTCTTATAAGCACACATCAAGGAGTTTGGTTGATCTTCTTTGAGAGTATTCTTTTTCGGTGGAATCCGAAGATTCAAGCACAGAGTAATATTTGGTATCTTTGTAATCTTTCTTTCTTTGGTAGTGGATTGATTTGTGGTGTTTCGCCCATGGTTTTTTTTGTCACAATTAGTGGTGCTTCAATTTTGGTTTTTCCACGTAAAAATCGTTTGTGTCGATTTATTATTTCGGAAACAACAATCTAAATAACATTCGTATGTGCTTTATGATTTAGATTGGTAAGTTTTGTTGTTTGGGAATTGGTACAATTAGTTCTTGATCTAATCACGAATCACTTAGGTTTTTCAATTGTTATCAGAGCTGGTCACTCTTTGTTTTTATCAAAACTATAAGAGTGTGATTTTGTGTGATTGGTGATATGGATTCAATCCACGAAGGTAACTCGACCCATAGACCTCCGTTACAAGATGGTACAAACTATAGAGCATTTTTAAAATCTATCGATAAGAAAGTTTGGTACTGTGTGATCTATGGGTGGAATGAACCTATTGTCACCTTTGATGGTGTTAATATTCCCAAACCCCTTGGTAAATGGGACGCATTCGACTATCAAAACTCGAGTTAGAACAGTAAGGCTCTCAATTCCCTTTTTTGCTCCGTCACACCTGAAGAGTTTCGTCATATTTGCACGTGTGAGGTAGCAAAAGAGGCTTGGGACATTCTTGAAACAATTCACGAGGGTATTACTTCTGTTAAAAGGTCAAAACTTCAACGTCTCACCTCTGCCTTTGAAACTCTTTTTATGCGTGATGATGAGACGTTTAATGATTTTATGCTAAACTTAGTGACATCGTGAATTCTTGTTTCACATTCGGTGAAAAAATTCCTGAAGATAAGGTTGTTGGAAAAATTTTGAGATCTTTACCCCGAGAGATTCCAATCAAAAGTGACAGCTATTGATGAGGCTTAGAATGTTGATACCCTCAAGCTTGATCAGTTGGTTGGAAACTTGCAGACTTATGAAGCCCACCAGATTTCTAAGAAAAAACAAAAAGATAGTGTGACCTTCACTAGTACTCATGAGACTGCAAAAATTCCTGAGACTGAATTTGATCTAGAGTCCAAGAAGACGGCTATGTTTACTAAACAGTTTA